CCTGCCGTGGCTGGCTTTGAATTGTGACGCCCAGACTTCAGTCTCCTGAGTACAGGCGTGAACCACGGGCACCCACCTTTGTTGTGGTTGTTGTTTAATCTGATGGATCTAATGCATCTGTCTTGGACACTAGATATTCCATCTCAACTTCCCCATTCTATTAGAAACATTTTCAAGTTTCACGTGAGTCTTTTTTTTTAAGTGGTACTGGGGTTTGAACTCAGGGCTTAGGCTTGCTTAAGCAGGTGCTCTACCACGTCAGTCAGGCCCTCAGCCTTTTCTGCTTTTTTCAGTAGGTTCTAGCCTTTTTCTCTAGCTGGTCTTGAATGTGTGATCATCCTGTTTTGCTTCCCATACAGCTGGGATGACAGGTGTGAACTACTAACAGCTATAGCTCCTCCCCGCCCCCTTGTCCTGGGACTTGAACTCAAGGCCTGGACACTGACACTGACACTGTCCCTGAGCTTCTTTTGCTCAAAGCTAGTACTCTTATCACTGGAACCACAGCTCCACTTCTGGCTTTTTGTTTATGTGGTATGAGGATTCAAACTTAGGGCTTCATGCTAGCTGCTAGGCAAGCACTCTACTACTACTAAGCCACATTCCCAGCCCTCAGCCTTCTTTTAAAACTGGTTGAGATGAGATTTTTGCCTGGGCTTAAACTGGGCTTAAACTGACCTCAGCCAATGGCTAAGGACTGCAAGGCTCTGAGTTTGATCAACATGTTCCTCCCCAAAATGTGACTATTTAAAAAGAACTTTCTTAATTGTTTACAGTATTATTAAAATACCTGAGGATGCAGCAAAGTTTTAAGTGAAGAATAAAACGGAGCAAAGTTATTCTGCCCTTGTGTGTTGAGACTTTTTGTGTGTGTGTGTGTCCGGTCGTGGGCCTAAACTTTGGGCCTGGGCGCTGTCCCTCAGCTCTTCAGCTCAAGGCTAGCGCTCTACCACTTGAGCCATAGCGCCACTTCCGGCTTTTTTCTTTGTGCTTATGGGGTGCTGAGGAATCAAACCCAGGGCCTCAGGCATGCAAGGCAAGCGCTCTACCACTGAGCCACCTTCCCAGCCCCATGTTGAGACTCTTGAGATGACTGCTACATGTCAGGAGTGTCTTGGATCTTTGTACTTCTTACATCTAGTTACTTTGTAGTTAAGTGTGACCTTTATTATTGACATCAATTCTCTAAAGCTTTCAAACTGTGGCCCGCTGAACTTTGTGTGATTTTCAAAGTAGTGTTTTTAGTTTTCTCTAAATGTGTGTCTGTAACTTGTTCTGTTCAAACTGCTGCCTTAACGATAGTTGCCGTTTTTTGGCCTTATTTCCAGAGCTGATTTTTCTCTTTTCTCATTGTTTTGTGCTAGTCCTGGGGCATGAACTCAGGACCTGGACACTCCCCTTAGCTTTTTCACTCAAGGCTAGCACTCTACCACGGGAGACATGACTTTACTTCCGCTTTCTGGTGGTTCATTAGAGAGAAGAGTCTCACAGACTTTCCTTCCCAGGCTGGCTTTGAACCACAGTCTTCTAGGATTACAGGCACGAGCCACCGGGTGCCCAGCTTGCTTGGCTTCTTACTGTCTTAAATGTGATCTTTCAGACCTATGACTGTCACTTCATGACTGCTCACTTCTGCAGTGCACCTGACTTTGGCATCTAGGAGTATTATGGGCTTGGGTTCTGCAAGTGCCAGTCTCTCCTGTTCTGTGTCAGGCACCCCTGGCACAAGGGTCTCTGGCATCATGCTGCCTTCCATGTTGGCTTCTTGAGTAGTTTTTAGGACTCAGTGCAGGTTGGTTGTTTTGTGGGGTTGGAGAGAGGAACTGGGGTTTGATCTTAAGGCTTGAGCATGCTAAGTAGCTCTACTACTTGAGCCATGTGCCCCACCCAGTGTTGCTTTTTGTTTAGTTTTGCTGGTCCTGGCGCTTGAACTCAGGACCTGGGTGCTGTCCGTGAACTTTTTTTTTTTTTTTTTGGTCAGTAGTGGGGCTTGAACTTAAGGCCTGGGTACTGTCTCTGAGCTCTTGTTCAAGGCTAGTGCTCTACCACTATGAGCCACAGTGCTGCTTCTGGTTTTTGAGTGGTTAATTGGAGATAGAGTCTCACGGACTCTCCTGCCTGGGCTGGCTTTGAACTGTTGACCTCAGATCTCAGTCTCCTGAATAACTAGGATTACAGACAGGACAGCTAGCACCAGCTTCCTGAACTCCTTTTGTTCAAGGCTAGTGCTCTACTAGACATGCTTAATCCACAGTGCCACTTTGTGCTTTATTTGGGATTAGGGATGAGTTCATGCTCCGGCTGTCTTTGAACCATGATCCTCAGGTCTCAGACTGAGTAGCTGGGATGACAGGTGCCAGCCACTGGCGCCCTGCCAGGGCACCTACTGTGCCCTCTGGGTGCCTAGCAGATGAGTCTTCACCACCACTCCCTCTCCAGGGAACCCACTGCAACTCAATACAACCAGGTACTATTTGGTCTGTGACACTAGACACCCCTTCCTCAGTGGCTGCCATGTGATCGCTTTCCAGGCTCATTTATGTTGCTGGCAGGGAAGGCCACATGCTGAAAGTGCTGTCCTACGTTAGCGTCAGGCGCCTCACACCTGCCCCAGCCCTCATCTTCTACGTGAGTACAAACCCACCACCACCACCACCACACTTGCTCTTGGGGGAGGCCCCTTGTGCAGCAGGTGAAGTCCTCCTCTTGTGCTAGGTTCATGGCTTTAAACAAGCCAGGGTTTGCTCATTCCATGACATTAAAACTTCAAGACAACCATGCCCTGGAGTCTCACACCTGTCATCCTAGCTACTCAGGCTGAGATCTGAAGATCACGATTGGAGGCCAACCCCTGTGAGACTTGTTATTTCCAATTAACCAGCAAAAGGGAGGAAGCGGAGGTGTGGTAGCATGCTCAAGCGGCAGAATGTCAGCCTTGAGTAGAAAAGCTAAGGGACTGTGACTAGGTCCTGAGTTCAAGCCCTAGGAGTGGTGTGCAATGTACCTGTGTACACACACATACATATATCCCAAGATCCCTCTTTAAAAATTCTACCTTCAGATACAAGTCTTCCTGCACATGCGCTGTGTGCTACATGTCCTAGTAACACGTATGTAAGGCCACGCACCGGCGGGGCGGGGCGGGCAGGGCGGGGCGGGGCGGGGCAGGGCAGCATGGGGCACTGGCAACAGCCTGGCACATGGAAGTCATGAGGTCTCCACCCCCTGCTAGCTGGGGCTTAGAGTTGGTATGAGCTGTTTTAGGCACCTATCTGCTGCCCTTGACTTCTCTCCCCACTACCTACTTGCCCTTTGGGTAGGGAATGCCCCAGGTGACCAGAGAAGACCTGAGTTCTGGTCTAGGGCCCGTCATCACAGCTCTGCAGGTCCTGGGCAGGTCATGGAGTGGAACTCAGAGCCTAGGTGCTGTCCTTTATTTTTGCTCAAGGCTGGCACTCCACCACTTGAGTCATGGCTCCACTTCTGGCTTTTTGGAAGTTAATTGATGAGTCTCCGGGACTTTCTTGCCCAGGCTGACTTTGAACCACAGTCCTCAGATCTCAGCCTCCTGAGTTAGCTAGGATGACAGGCCTGAGCCACCAGCGCCCGGCACTTTCTTTGTACTTGAAACTCTAGACATAGAGTGCACCCTGCGTGAGCTGGCACTCCGGATGACATAGCACGCAGGAAGTTGCTCCGCAGGAAAGCAGGCGCTGACGGCCTGCAGCTCCCATCTCCTCCTCCACAGGGCATCATTGCCACCATCTACATCATCCCCGGAGACATCAACTCCTTGGTCAATTACTTCAGCTTCGCCTCTTGGCTCTTCTATGGCGGGACAGTTCTAGGACTCATTGTGATGAGGTTCACGAAGAAAGACCTGGAAAGGCCCATCAAGGTATGCGCTTGCTTTCCTGTCCCCCGAGTGCCATGGTCGGAGGGGTGGGGACATGGTTAACTTAGGATCCAACTCTCCAGGCTCCGTGGCCAAAGCAGGAAAGCCAGCAGTGGGACTTGGATGATGGGGCAGGAGGGTGAGAAATGTCACGACACAACCGTGTCACCCCTGGAGGCCAAGAACACCTCCAGGCCCCAAAGCCTGGTGGACAGCACCGCTGCTGGCGTGCCTCACTGCGCAGCTCCGAGGCGGGCGGGTGGCCCAGGTTGTCAGGGAGGTGGAACCATTGACAGCTTTGGCTTTAGGTTTGGCACACCCACTGACCCACCCCAGCAATTCACCAGGAGCACCACCAGACACTGTTGTCTGGGGGTTACAAAAGACCGGATTGCTGTAGCCGTGAATGACCCCTGCACACCCAGGGAGCAAAGCACGTTCACAGGAGGCTGGAGCGACACCCCGGGGGGGAGGGGCGCGTGGAAGCACGGCCCGATGACGTGGCGTTGTGTTGTAGGTGCCCATCGCCATCCCCGTGGTGGTGGTGCTCATCTCGGTGTTCCTGGTTCTGGCCCCGATCATCAGCGAACCCGCGTGGGAGTACCTCTACTGCGTGCTCTTCATTCTCAGCGGCCTTATCTTCTACTTCCTTTTTGTCCACTACAAATTCGCATGGGCTCAGAAAATCTCAAGTAAGTGTCCCCAGCTGCAGTCCCCGTCCTGCTCCCCAGGGGAGGCCTCCAGGCGCGTGCTGTGTCACCTCATCTTTCCTGGAAGTCTCCCAAACCAGGGGCGTGTTGTGTGTGTGTACTGGGGCTGAACTCAGGGCTGGGCACTGTCGCTTAGCTTTTTCCCCAGCTCAAGGCTGGTGCTCTATCACTGGAGCCACAGCTCCACCTCTGGCTTGGAGCCACAATCCTTCCATTTTGGCCTCCTGAGTACCTAGGTTGACCAGATGAGTCAGCTTCCCCCCAGGGTTCTTAAGCCATAGAGATCCACAAATGACAGAGCACCTCCATTCTGCAGTCCTAATCCTCAGCTAGGGCTGGAGGGCAAGAAGGTAAGGCGAGCCTTGGGCATAGCCCATGGGGCTGATGTACCTTTCTGAAGTTTGAGGAACCCCCTACCCCAAAGTTTTAGAATCCAGAGAACTGACTGCATGCCCATATGAAGAAAAAGACTGGGAAAAAAAAAGGCTGGGAAGGTGGCTCAGTGGTAGAGCGCTTGCCTTGCATGCCTGAGGCCCTGGGTTCGATTCCTCAGCACCACATAAGCAAAAAGAAAAAAGCTGGAAGTGGCACTGTGGCCCCACGACCAGACCCCAAAAAAAAGGAAGTCTATTTCCTGGCTGAGAATGTAGCGCACTTGCCTAGCATGCATGAAGCCCTGGGTTCAGTTCCTCAGTACCCCATACACAAAGCCGGGAGTGGTGCTATGACTCAAGTGATAGAGAGCCAGCCTTGAACAAAAGTTCAGAGACAGCGCCCAGGCCCTCGGTTCAAGCCCCAGACAGAACCGACCAAAAAAAAAAATTCCAGTCCTCAACTTTTTAATGGGAATGGGGGAGGACGGGGGGGGGGGGGGTGGAGAGAGAAATCAAAACGAGAGGGGGGGGGACTGAGCCTCTGGCTGCGTGCGGCCCGGCCACACCTCTGCCGTGCCCCGTCTCCAGGGCCAGTGACCATGCACCTGCAGATGCTGATGGAAGTAGTCCCCCCGGAGAAGGACCCCGAGTAGCGCGCTCGCCGCCGCGGCCCGGCCCGCCCCGCGCTGGCAGCACGTGCGCTTCCCGATGTGAGCCCATGTTTGTCTCGTATGAGATGTCCCTCTCATATGAGACTCCCGGGAGCAGGTTCTAGAAAGGTGACAGGTGCTTGCTTGCCAGTTAGCAGAGATGCTGTCACCAAGGATCTAGGAGGGTGCGTTACTAAGAAACAGTGTGGGTTTTAAGAGTAGGGCAGATCATTTTCCTAGCATATTCAATGTCCTGCCCAGTACTGGAAAATAACAAAGGGCCAATGTTGATTAGTCCCAAATCATGGCGAGGCCGAGTCACCAGGCCGCACGGCCCAACCAACCACCAAACCCAGTATGCCTGCAGCACAAGGCAGTGTGGGGAATAAAATCCTACTTTGTACATACTTGGGGAAAAGAGTGCTCAACTTTTATTTCAAACAATACTCAAACTGCAAAAGGCAGTCATGTCACAACCGAGAGTGGAAGTAGTGTTTTAGACACATTTGGAGAAGTCTTAGCAGTACAGAAAACAGAAGCGTTACCAATTGTAGTGCCATACACAGTATTCATCCATTTCTCTATTTGGACCTGGAGAAGGTCAGGCTCAGAGAGACCAAGGGTGCAGGGAAAAATTAAATCTAAATCAGAACGTCTGGCGGGGTGCAGTGGGGTGCACATGTCACTGCAGCTACTCGGGAGGCTGGGATCTCAAGACCGCACAGCTCATAGCCAGAATAGGTAAAAGTTTACCTGCAGGCTACACAGGAGACATGGCAAAGTGGAATGGAGAAGCACATGGGGCTTCAACCTCCAACAGCTTACCTGACCTTTCCAGCTCCTCACCTCTCCCAAGGAGGAATCGCCAATGGCTTCCAGGTGCTCTCACTCTGCTGTTCCTGGTGATTAATGGGGTCCTTTTTTGTGCCAGTACTGGTGTTTCAACTCAGGACTGATGCTCCTACACTTTCCAGCACTTTGCTGGTTAATTGGAGATAAGAGTATCACAGATTTGTCTGCTTGTGCTGGCTTCGCACCTCACATGTGAGCCCCTGTACCTGGCCACAAATCCCTTAAATCTTTGTCCCCGTTTGCCCAAGATTTCAGGAGCAGTTACCCGAAACAGCGGCTCTGCTGCTAAAAAGCCCTGGGCATGCCGAGGCCACTCGCAGCTGTCCTTGGGAAAAGGCCACTCACTCTAAGCAGCACCTTCACAGGCAATAGTACGTGAACGCAGTCACAGCAAAAAAGGACTGGCAAGCATGTGCTAGACGTGCATCTGTCAGACAAAAGCAGGGTTTTCCTGTGGCGCCTAGGCTGCCCTCGGTCCTCTGAGTGCTGGGATTATTGGGGTCTCCCAGACCTTGCTTCTCCCTTCCTTTGGCCATCTTTAATGTTTGCCTATTTTTAAGTCAATTAAATTGACTATCCCAGTGCCCCAAGAAGCTTCAGTAATGAGGTTCAGACGTGACTAGTTGCTTCCTCAGCCTCCCAGCGCAGCTCATTCACTCTCGCTTCCCGCATCCTCTGAAGAGCTGCTGCTGTTCTTCACCACCTCGGCCACTTTGCCCCACAGGCTTCTAGAATGTGCAACTGGAAGAGTCACACATCGTTAGCAATTTAAGCCTACACCAACGATCACACCCTTCCCGTCTTGCAGTGTGTATTGGCACTGGTTTGCTGTGATAGGAGGGAGACCTGGGTGCCATGGGCAGCTGGGGTGGAGCTGGTGTGTCTGTGGGCGAGGGCTGGTAGGATGCACAGCAGAGCATCTTTCTAAGGGGCCCTGCTTTAACCTCTCACTTGCTTAAAGTGGAATCCCTCAGGCGGGCAGGTGCTCAGGACCCCACGTCTCACCCTTGGCGATGGGGCTGTCCTCTTCACAGTCCTCCCAGTGGTCGAAGTCAAAGGTCACGTTAGGGTTCTGTGCAACACAACAGTACAGCTCAGCGGGTGGGTGTGGCACGGCAGAGGGCCGGCCGCAGCCAGGGGGGCTCACCTTGTGTTTGAGGAGGCCACGCCATGGCTCCTTCTTCTCCTTGGTCAGTGTGATAACGGGCTCATGGTTCTCAATGATGCACTTGCAGTCGTCCTTTACTATGTTGGCCTGCAGCTCCAGATCAGCCAGGTACGCCTTGTCTCCCACGGAGGCGCTGCGCACAGACAGCCGTCAGCCCAGAGCACGGGGCGTGGCCCCTCTCATGGCCTACCTGCCCACGGGACCCACCTGAAAATGACTCGGTCTTGAAAGTATTTACATCTGTAATCACGGACCTCCCGTATTTGTATCTTTAAGATGACGACATCCTCTTTTTGGAACCACTTTATTTGTGGATGCAAGCTAGAAGAGAAGGGAAGTCCTGACACGCTTGCCAGGCTGTGGCCGAGGGGGGTGCTCCCGCGTGGGTGGACATACCTTTTCTGATGTGGAGGTGCAGTTGCACTAGCAGAAGCATCTCTGGTGGGTGCAGATTCAGATTCTGTATAAAATTCAAAGTCAGCTTTTCCCCACAGGTTATCTGTATGTAAAACACTTTTCTTCCCCAATGTTGGGGACTGAACCTAGGGCTTTACACATCCTGGGTAAGCACCAGGCCACTTAAGCTATACCCCTAGTCCAGCTTTTGCTGTTGGGGGGGGGGGCGGGTGCTGGTCATGGGTCTTAAACGCAGGGCGCTGTTCCTGAGCTCTTTTGTTCTACCACTTTGTGCCACAGCACCACTTCGTTTTCTGGTGGTTCATTGGAGGTAAGAGTTTCATGGACTTTCCTACCTGGGCTAGCTTTGCATTGTGATCCTCAGATCTCAGCCTCCTGAGTAGCTGGGATTATAGGCTTGAGCCACCAGTGCCTGGCATCCATTTGTTTTTGAGATTGGGTCTCATTAACTTTCCTGGGGCTACACTCAAAAACTCATCCCTCCAGCTTCCATCTTCCAGACAGCAAGGATTACAAGCATACACCACCAGGCCTGGCTTACACACACTTTCTGGCACTGTAGGCAACTTTTAGATGAGGAATCATTAACGTAATAGGTAGTTCAAATATTCAGATGCAAAGAACGAGAAGAAATGAAAATGAGTATCACTTAGTAAAACATGTGAACATAAAAAAACAAGCATTAACAAACATTAAAATGAAGCAAGAAAGCAGAGGAAGGGGCCAGGTGCTGGTGGCTCACGCCTGTAAGCCTAGCTACTGCTGGGATCTGCTAAATGTGACTCCATAGCACAGCCACAGCATGCACAGCCACAGCACGCACAGTGAACTTACAACATAAGCTCCACAACCTAAACCATTTAAAGCTAGTATCCCACCAGTCTAAGGACACAGGGACAGCGGCTTTAATCACGGTAGCCCCAAGTGGAAAACAACCCAGTGCCACCCCATAAACTGTGCTCCTTCCTGTTACAGAAAATTACTTAGCGGTTATGTACAAGCGATCGCTTCTTGCAATACTAGATGTGAATTTTACACAGACACCCTGATGGCAGAAGCCCCAAGAGAGTTACGTCATGCTTCCCACTCGGCAAGGCACACGGTGACACGAGTGGCCAGATGGACGCTGGGGAGCTGCGTCTCATCCGCACGCGCCTGCCTGGGTATATGTTATGTGTCACAGATACAAAAAAGTGTTTAAAAAAAAACCAATAGAAACAGATAAAGTCAGCTTATGTCATCTTCTAACACTGACTCACCAAAAAATGGAACAGTCTGTGTCAACATCTCAAGAGCCAAAATGTGAGGTTTAATGATTTCAAGTCAGCATCCTTTCAGTAACAAGTACAAACCTGGACTGTGGTGAGCGGAGTCAGTCATGGAGCTGGAGCTGGAGCTGGACTTCCCTGGCGCTTGCGCCTCCTCCTGCGGAGCCCCAGATGCAGCAGCAGCCTCTTTCTCTGGGGAAGTCACCCTAGACCAAGAGGCCCTTGGTTAGCGCTGACCTCAGGAGGATCCCAAAGGCACTCATGGCCAGGCTCGGTCACCACCTCCACAGGCAGCCCTCCATGGCTGGTGACTTAAGGGCAGATGACAAAGAAAGTGCTGCCCAGTGCTGGGTTTTCAGAACCCCTCCCCCCCTTTCCCCCCTCCAGACTGGCTGGGATGCCGGAGATGGGACAACACAGGGTAAGGGAGTCCCAAGCAGTCAGAATGTAAGCAAGGGAACCCCCATCCTGGCTTGCTGTTGGGATTCAAGTACAGTGCTGTGGTTCAAGTGGAGTGCTAGCCTTGAGCACAAAAAGGCTCAGGGACAGTGCCCAGGACTGGCAAAAACCAGACACCACAGAGATGCGTGTAACTTAACACACAGGACCCAAACACTTGAGAAAGGAGACAAAGAAAGGCACTTCCTTACGTGGTCTGGCCGAGGCCACCATCACAAGCTGGCATGTCCGTTCCCTTGCAGAGCAATTTCAGTTTTTGCACGTGTTCTGAATTATCAATGCCCATCCCCGTGGACAGAATCTCTGCACGAACATTATAATCAATGATGGAAGTTTTCAGGTTTGGAAGTTTTGTAACATGCACCTTGAAGCATGAGGGGGAAAGGACATTTTTAGGAGTCCTGCTGAGCAGGTTGCCACTACAGCAAATGCTCATTTCACAGCGGAGGGGACACGGCACAGGCGCATGAAGTGTGGGGTCAACTCCTGGGATAAAATCCATACCCACGCCAGTCTGGACTGGTGGAACCACATTCAATTTCCTGTTTTCAAGATTCTTACTCAACTGTTTCACCTCTATAAAAAGGGCCTTCCCCTTTCTGTGTTTCAGACCATTTCCTCTGTTTTCCTTTTCTGCGACCACAACTTTCTCATCCATTTCAATTTGCACGAAATTTAGTCAACTAAGAATCCACAGCAGTGCAATCTGGTACCCCATCAGCCCCAGGCAGGACCTCATCTGCTTGGCTCACAGAAGTAACCTGACACCTGAACTACTAGCAAGGAGCAGGTAGTGAGCAGATGAGAAAGTGAGGATATAAAAGGCTATCTTTGAGCCAGATGCTGTTGGCTCGTGCCTGTTATCCTAGCTACTCAGGAGGCTGAGATGTGAGGATCACAAGCCAAACTGGGCAAGAAATCCAGGAGACTTATTTGCAGTCAACAAACAAAAAGCTGGAGCTGTGGCTCAAGTGGTAGAGCGCCAGCCTTTAGTGAAAGAGCTCAGGGACAGTGCCCAGGCCCAGAGTTCAAGCCCCACTGACCAGCATAAACACATCAAAAGGTATCTTTTATCTTTGGGTGCTCTGAGATAGAACCCTAGGCATCTCCGAGCATGGCACATGTCTTTAGGCTCATTTACAATCTAGATCGGAGGGACACATGGCGGGCACTGACTCGGGCGGGGCCTGCCAGCTGGGAAATCAACACTTGAAAAGGTGGAAGTAGAATTGCTGCATCTAAAGAACACCTTTGTGACACTTGTGTGGGAGTGTGTACCACACAAGTGTATGTACTGGGCCATGGTTTAAGATAATCTGTCAAACAACAAAACCCCACAACAAAACTCATGAGCAACACCTATGTATGAACACCACCTCCTCCAACACAACCCAAATCTGCCTCCAGTTCTGGAAGCCAACAGTTACTGAAGCAATCATTAGAAGAATATGCATCATTTTAGGAGATTTTAAGGAAACTGCACACTTACCATTGGGTCAATCCAAACAGTATTCCCCAGAGCCAATACTACTTTTGCATCATGCAATTTTCCAACGATTTTATGATGAATGTACCTAGTAACCTGAAAAAAAAAAAGCACTTAATGTAATCTGCAGCTTTAACGAAATACCTCTTTGCAGGCTGGGCCCGCGGCAGCTCAGACTTGGGTCCTCGCTACCCAAGAAGTGCGGTATGGAGCTGACGGCGGGCGGGGTGGGGGGCATGCTTCTCTCATCCAGTGATGTAGGAGGCTGAGACCAGGAGGATCATAGTTTCAGGTCACATCAGGGAAAAAATGTTCCTAAGGCCGGGTGCCAGTGGCTCACGCCTGTAATCCTAGCTACTCAGGAGGCTGAGATCTGAGGATCGCGGTTCAAAGCCAGCCCGGGCAGGAAAGTCCCTGAGACTCTTATCTCCAATAAAAACCACTAGAAAGCCTCAAGTGGCACTGTGGCTCAAGTGGTAGAGCACTCACCTGGAGCTGAAGAGTGCAGGGACAGCGCCCAAGCCCAGAGTTCAAGCCCCATGACCGACCAAAAAAAAAAGTTACTAAAACTCCATTTCAGCAGAGAAAGCTGCGGTGTGATACTGTCTCCCCAGCAATGGCAGGAACTACACATAGGATGGCAGTCTAGGTGGGCCTGGGAGAAAAACGGGCAGGAGGAATAGCTCAAGTGGTACACTGCCTGCCTAGCAAGCAAGAAGCCCTGAGTTCAAACCCCACTATAACCAAGTCCTCACACCCCTAAACCCACCTTCTGTATTCTTCCTGTGCTGCCTGATCTGTCTATAGGCGGCTCCATCACGGAGGGGGGGGGAGTCACAGAGCCCCATCCCTCAGTGGGGGTAGCACTGGGCATGCATGAGGTGGTGCTTTACCCCTTGACTCACAGATCCAACTCTGGCTTTTTTAGCCAGTCCTTGAACTCAGGATCTGGACATTGTCCCTGAGCTTTTGTTCTCAAGGCTAGTGTTCTACCACTTTTGAGCCACAGCTCCATTACAGCTTTTTGTGGTTAATTGGACAAGGACTTTCCTTCCTGAGCTGCCTTTGAACCTTGATCCTCAAATCTCAGCCTCCTGAGTAGCTAGATTACAGCCATGAGCTACCAGTTCCTGGTTCTCAGCTTTTTTGCCCAAGACTATGGCACCTTACCACTTGAGTCATATCTCTACTTCTGGCTTTTTTGTCGGTCATGGGGCTTGAACTCTGGGCCTGGGCGCTGTCCCTCAGCTCTTCAGCTCAAGGCGAGTGCTCTACCACTTGAGCTACAGTGCCACTTCCGGTTTTCTGGTGGTTTATTGGAGATAGGAGTCTCACGGTCTCTCCTGCCCGGGCTGGCTTTGAACCGCGATCTTCAGATCTCAGCCTCCTGAGTAGCTAGGATTACAGGCGTGAGCCACCAGCGCCCGGCCTCTACTTCTGGCTTTTGATGGTTAACTGGAGCTAAGTCTCTTACAGACTTGTCTGCTTGGGCTGGCTATGAACCATAATCCTCAGACCTCATCCTCCTGAGTAGCTGGGATTACAGGCATGAACCACCAAATCAAGTTGATTTTGGTGATTCCAGGTATAGTGTGAGGTACAGTTATTCAGCCTGGTGAAAAGTGATGGTGATTGACACATGGTGGTCGTCTCTCCTGCTATCTAGAACTTGCTGGTAGGAGCCTGTAGTTAAAGGTTATGGCTCAGGGTTGATTCGTGTGTGAAGATGGATTGAAATGCCGGAAGGAGGCAGGAAGAGCTAGATTCCTTCCATAGAACCTGCGCCAAATCTTATCTGTGCAAGGACATGTGGCTATGGATTGCAGAGACACTGCAAGCTGTGTGTGCGTGTGTGTGCATGTGTGTGCATGTGCACACGTGTGCATACACGTGTGATGTTACTGAGGCTTGAACTCAGGGCCTGGATGTTATCCCTTAGCAATTTGACTTAAGGCTGGTGATCTACCACTTGAGCCACAGCTCCACTTCCTGATTTTTGGTGGTTAATTGGAGATAAGAGTCTCAGGGGCTTTCCTGCCCAGAGATCCTCTATACCTCACTCTCTTGAGCAGCCAGAATTACAAACATGAGCCACCTGGCTTATTTTGTGCTTTTTGGTTGACAGACCAAGATAACTCATAAACGATTCTGGCTTGGTAGCAGTGGGGCTTGAGTGAGGACAGGGGCAGAGGTTCAGGAACCTGCCCTAGGGCTCGTGCCAGAGAGGCCCAGGGGCTGGTGGAGATGGGACCCTCAGACCCCAGATTCTGAAGGTGTCCCCATGTGGACGACGTACCCCGTCAAATGGCATCTACTTCCCTGAACACCCAAGGACATGGGACAATGACACTGCTCCCCCGGGGTGCTGGGGCTGTGGGGCTGCATCCCCACTTAACTCTCAGGCAGTCCAAGCCATGTGAGAAACTGAGGCAGGAGAATCATGTGAGGCTAGGAATTCAAGACCAGTCTGGCAATACAAGTTGAAACCTCCCCTCTTCCAGACCCTTACCTCAAAAAAGCCTCATTATATATGGACATATGAAATAAGTTCAGACAATGTGTAATCTGGGTGCATTTGGGGTTAAACATATCCTCCTAATTGACGAAAGAGGGAAAGAGACAATCAGTCACCTTAGGATTCCATTCCATCTCACCGTCGGCAGGTTTCACTCGGCACACAATGAACTCCACAGCCTGTGGGGGCAGCGTGCGGAAGCTTTCTGGGAGGCTCAAGAGCTGGTCCTTTGTCACCAGCCCCGTCCTGCCTTCATCCAGGAAGGTCACAAGGATGCTCCCCAGGCCCCCTGCATCTTCTTTCTGGCTCATCTCCAGCACCTGAACTCTGGAGCACAGCAGGCCATTACATGAGCAGAAGTTCCGAGAGGAAGTCATCTCTGCCTCAACCTACCCAGCACATGGAAAACATGCAAAAATGTGGCTGCACCACACAGGTGTGCTCTGCGCTGGAACTAACAAATGAAGACCTTGGAAAGCCTTCAGTGATGGACTATCTATATTACTCACGGGTGGTTCGAATGGGCTCAATCCCTTCATCAGAAAAAGGAACACAGCAAAGTTCTGAGGACTCTGACTCAAGCCTGAGTGGCACCTGCTGTATACACTGCCTGCCCAAGACCCCTCACTGGCACGGCCACAGCTCAGCGGGCTTGCCTATAAAATGCCCATCTGACGGGAACTTGGTAGAAATTAAACAAGGTGGAGTGGTGGCCTGGTGGACAGCTGGAGTGTGGTATTCTGTGTCAGAAGCCAGTGGATCAAGCCTCACTGTGTGTGGTGAAAATAAGTGTTCCACACAGCTTGAATTCCCTCATGTGTCAACGATGAACAGTGCTTTACCTGTGAAAAAATGTCTTCTCTTCCAAGCCATACAATCCCAAGTTCTCCACCTTCTCAACAGCTACTTTATTACTAGAATCCTTAAAATACTCATTCATTTCTGCCTTCAGAGTGACATAAAGATCCTCATGTTTATCAATGATACGACCAAAGTAATTTGTTGCATTTGAAATGTAAGAAGGTATTATCTGAAACAGCAGGAAAACGTTTAAATCACACATGTGCACACTTCATCTGCCTGACCTAAGAACTCATATGCAAACAGATTGAAAATTAGCCACAAAGGCCAGATACCGTAACAGAAGAAACCTTTACCATATTCAGAAATATTACAGTCTTGTTGGGAGCTGATGGCGCACACCTGTAATCCTAGCTACTCAGGAGACTGAGATCTGAGGATCGTGCTTCAAAGCCAGCTCTGGCAGGAATGTCCATGAGACTCTTATCTCCAATTAACAACCAGAAAACCAGAAGTGGCACTGTGGCTCAAGTGGTAGAGCACTAGCCTTTAACTGAAGAGCTGAGGGACAGAGCCCAGAGTTCAAGCCCCACAACCAACACCAACACTCCCCCACCAAAAAAAAAGATTCTTCTCAGGTAGAGAATGTGGCTTAATTGTAGAATGCTTGCCTAGCATGCACAAAGCCCTGGGTTCAATTCCTCAGCACCACATCAACAGAAAAGGCTGGAAGTGGCGCTGTGGCTCAAGTGGTAGAGTGCTAGCCTTGAGCTGAAGAGCTCAGGGACAGCACCCAGGCCCAGAGTTCAAGCTCCATGACTTGACAAAAGGAAGAAAAAAAAGAAAAAGAAAGAAATATTACAGTCTTGCTAAGCACCAATGGCTCATGCCTCTAATTCTCACTACACAGGAGACTGAGATCTGAGGATCACAGTTTGAGAAGCCAGCCCAAGTAGTAAAGTCTATGAGACCATCTCTAATTTATCACCAAAAAGCTGGAAATGCCAGTGTGGCTCAAGCAGAGCAACCAGCCTTGAGCAGAAAAGCTCAGGGATGGGCTGGGAAATTTGGCTCAATAGTAGATTGCTTGCCTCGCATGCATAAGGCCCTGGGTTCGATTC